TGCAAAAGGCACCGCTCCTATAAAAACAGCTACCCCACTGATGGCTAGTCACCCTGACGAAGCCGGCAGGAGGCCGGCGAAAGCTAGGTGTTTTAATGTTTTAATAGCAATAAATTTTTGTAACTTTTTAATCTCCTGGTGGTCTCACTGCTTGTGACCCTTCGAACATGAATTTACCCAGGAGTCATCCTCCAATTTGATCTCCTTCCTGTGGATTCATATTTATATTCTATAGATCTATTCATAAAACCTGTAAGTTTAAATAGATTTACTTAGCTGCATAGGTTAAAAGAAGTAGACTCCTTTCCTGCATGAATATCACAATATTTCACATAAATGTAAATAGGTGATTTGCTTCTATTTATATTTATTTGCAAACTCAAGTCTGTTGAGTTTTTTTACACCTTGGTCATTTGACTTCATGATTCTAAATAACCCGGCAGTTAAAAGCACTAATAAAATTTGGCTGATCCGGCCTCAGTGGCTTCTTGAAGCTTAGCTCAAAGGAAAAGTAACCAAAGTTCAAATCCTTCTCAAAACTGAAATCTGAGCTGGAGAAGCACACTAAAAGGAAGAACACGAAGTCATGTCTGATCATAGGCCCTTTATTATTTCTATCCCATTTTTCTTGCAGAAAGCCCCAAAAAGCACAAATGAGTGTCCCTCCACAATTCATCCTCACAAAAACCAACTTGAAGAGATAGCTTAGCTCAGAAACAAGGACTAACCTCAATCAATTCTATCATCACATAAAAATTGAACATGCATTTTTCCACACACAAACCAAGCACTGTATCACACAGGCTTATGGCCTGTTGTTTTTCTCTTATCAAACTTAGCTCCATCATTTGGTTTTTCTATTTATTATTAAATTTACATCTTGCCATTCTCTTGTAGTAAGGACCCAAGGTGGCTTATATAACACTAAAGCAAAATACGTTATATAAGCATGACAGGAAAATCAATATCATTAAAATCATTACAGTGGAGATACAAATATGGAGAGGTTGCAGGGAAAGCAGGCAGGAGGAAGAAGAGAAGAATGCTAGACTGTGTGAAGCATGCCACAGAGGTTAGGGTTAATGAAAACCCTAGTTTAATTTTCATTGGTAATGGAATTTTCCCATTTATTTTATAGTTGTAGACCAGGGCTTTTCAACCAGTGGTACGGGTACCATCTGTGGTACATTGGCACCTGGCAGGTGATACGCGACCATCCTAGAAAAGTGGTAGCGGGGGAGGGGAATGAGCTGAACCGGTGGCAGCACCCCACAAGCCTGAGCGAGAGATGGCTGGAGCTGCAGGGCTGTCAGGGCTCAGCGGAAATGCCAGGATCAGTGCCAGGCTCCAGCTGGAGCTCGGCACTGATCCTGGTGCTTCTGCTGAGCCCAGAAGAAGCGTCGATCAGCTGGAATGTTGCAGCATCTCCAGGGTCTTGTGATTTACATTCAGATGCTTGGCAACTGATTCATATTTATGATGGTCACAGTGTCCCAGGGTCTTGTGAAGTGACCAAAACCTGCTGCAACCACCCAGCAGATGGGGAGAATAAAAACCAAACACCCCCCACCCCACCCCCACTACTAATCCTCAACAGAAATGCTCACAACAATGAAAACCTCGGACAGGAGGAAGAGCGTGGTGTCTTGCTCGGCTTTGGCTTGGGGGGCACTTTTTTCAGTGCCACTGTAACTTCAAACAGTCACTAAGCAAACTGTTGTAAGTCGAGGACTACCTGTACTTTATCACTTTTTTTCCTTTTTTGGGGGGGGTCATCAAGTTTTTGACACCTTGCTAGGCGACTGGTGGTACTCGGATATTGCTATATCCTAAAAGTGGGTGAAAAGGTTGAAAAGCCCTGCCTTAGAGAACTTTTAAGAATCTATACCTGACATTAATTTCGTTTCTGAAATAAAAACCCAAGTTGGCTTATACTGTAACAGTGAAACAAAACACATTATGTACGCATGACAGGAAAATTAGTATCATTAAAATCATTGCTCTGGAGATAGGAATATGGAGAGGCTGCAGGTAAAGCAGGCTTGAGGAGGAAGAGAAAAATGTTGAGCTATGCAAAGCTTGCCAACTAGCTGCTGGTGCCTTTCTCTTTGGAGCATTAAAGCAGCCACTTTTTTACAATCATTTTCAGTAGTATAAATGGTGTCAGGACATGTAGAAACAAAAGGGAGATAGCTTTCACTGTACAGTGGTGGCGCGTGGTTAGAATGCAGGATTGCAGGATAACTCACTGCTCACTGCCAAGCGTTCGATCTTGACCGGCTCAAAGTTGACTCAAGCCTTCCATCCTGAGTCTGTACACCGCTTTAGAGAGGGCTGTAAAGCACTATGAAGCGGTATATAAGTCTAAATGCTGTTGCTATTGCTAAATGCTTCAGTACTGTATGATCCTCTGAAAGGTCTTTGCCACTTTTTTTTTCTCCTCCCAAGGTTGAGTTTATTTCCAATTAAGCTTTGCCAGTTTCTGTGCTGTCAAGATAACCTTCAAACCAATACAGTTAGTAGTAGCAATCCTTTTAATTAATAATTGCTTCTTTTTTCTTCTCCTCCTTCTCCTCTTTTTTTAAGTCAGGACAGCCACAAAAGTCCCCAAATTGTTGGAGATATCCAAATGCAGGATTCTCCACATTGTCAGCACAGTCCAACCTTTGGCATCACCCACATGGTCTGCACAAAGGACAGAGAGAGACTTCAAATGGTCTGCCCATTTGTGCCAGAGCCAAGGTTTTGCTGGGAAAGGTCATGAGTTACACACCACTCGGTGAGAGGCATTCCCATTTATTTAAACAACCCTCTCAGGAAAACACTTTTTTGGAGGGGGGAAGATGTGTGGTTTTTAGATTCAGTCCATGGAATATTTAAGAATGGGCAGTGTCTCGAGGGCCAGGTGGCAGGGCTTCTATAAAGTCTCTAGTATTGTACATGTAGTCCTCGATTTACAATAGTTCATTTAGTGACTGTTCAAAGTTACAATGGCACTGAAAAAGTGACTTACGGCCATTTTTCACACTTACAACCATTGCAACTTCAAAATTCAGAAGCTTGGCAACTGGTTCCTATTTATGACGTGTTGCATTTGATCAGCTTTTGCGACCTTCTGTCAAAGCACGTCGATGGGTAAGCCAGATTCACTTAACAACCATGTTACTAACTGAACAATTGCATTGATACACTTAACAACAATGGCAAGAAAAATCGTAAAATGAGGCAAAATTCACCTAACACTTTTTTTTCACTTAGCAACATAAATTTTGGGCTGAATTGTGGTCATAAGTCAAGGACTTATTTGAAAAATAAGTTTGAAAAATACTACATCATCTTTCAAGAGCCTTTTATGCAAAGATAGATGGTGTAGCTAGGACTTCATGTATGCAGAACTTGGACTTTTATTTAAAATCTAATTATTTATTTCATGGGAATTAACTGTGCCCATTGCATAACTATGAATAATATACAGTGCATAATTCCACACATTTTTAAGCATTCCAGGGTGCATTCCAAATTAGTATGAACGCTAATGGAAAAAGTATTATTAGTTGCTATGAAAATACAATTCAAAAATTATACCGACTCTACTTTCTAGTCAACTACTTGCTAATTGTAAGTGCAAGGACTGGTCACAAAGTGCTTTTTCAGCACTGTCATAACATCAAGTGGTTGTTAAACAGGGCAGCTGTTGAGTGAGGACTACATATATGGCTTAGTTCCATTTGCAATCATTTACAAAAAAATAATTTGCCCTTTCTTAGTTATACCATTTCTTCACCTTTCCAGTCTAGATCCCTAAAGATAAAGGTAAACTATTGTAGGAAATCATTTCATTTTTCTTCTTGTATATGTCCTTCAATAAGCAATGGATCTGAATTCCCATTTCCCTAATAAATTATGTCACTATTCCCATAAGTAAAAATGAAAATAAGTGTTTCAAAAACACAATATACTTGTCTTCCACAAACCAGTAGGATTTTCAAGGCCACTATGGGCACAATCCATGGTGCTCATTGTCATACCCAAATAAGTGCTCCTCAAATATAATTTCTGGGAATTATAGGCATTTAGATTCCAACCTATCTGGAAGACATGCAATTGGAAAAGGCAGCCCTAGATAGCGTATGTTGAAACACATTACTTCCTTATGTCCTGTCAACATAAAACTATTGAGCAGCCAAGAATAATCTTCCTATGGATGAAAACATTACAAAAGCATTTTTGCTACATGCTTCCTAATTACAGGACTGCCTCAATCTAGATAAATCTGATTGTAATCTACATGGGAGGCATATACTGTAAGAAACCATGCATGGTTATATTGAGGTATAATTCTAAGAGTTCAGATTTACCCAAAATAGGATAGCATTCTCCACCCTGGTTTCTTCCAGATGTGATGTAACTGCAGTTCTCAAACTTTTGAGGCAGCACTGGCTATGTTGAGTAGAACTGCATATACGAAAATCACCAGACCAAAAAAGATTGATTTTATCCAATGTTCAACATTCCAGAAGATGGATAAGCAAATGCTTCAGAAAGATCTAACCAGGGCATAACTGAAACTGGTATAAAAATGGCATATTAATTCGCAGATTTGTATGAGCCTTCCAAATGTGCTTTCCTATTACGTTAAGAAAACAACATCCATAATCTCTTTTGCTATGTTGGACTGATGATAATTGCAATTGAAGCCCAAAACAGATGGCCAGTACTGTACATGGAAAATGGGCAGTGATGTAAAGTATTTAAACATGTCAGTTCCAAATCTTTCAGTATGAACAGCACTTTATTTCCGGAAACAAGAAAAGCAAATCTTATGTTTAATCTGCCGAAATTAGAATTGTTCCAGTTAGTTCCTATTATCCTATTATACTTCCTTGCCTAACATGGTCCTTGATCCTAGACTGCTAGCAGACTGAGAACCCTTGACTCTACCAGTATTTTTTTTTTTTAAAAATTAAATATCTATGCGCTTTTGCCTATGGCTCTTCAAATTTTGCAGAACTACATCTTCCACCTTCCCTCAATTTGTTAGGTTGACTAGGAACTGCGAGGACTTACAGGTACATCAGCTGAAGTGCCATAAGTTACCTATCTCAATCAAAATGTAAACAAATCAGTTGCATAAACACAAGATAATGTACAGCCTCTATAGTACACAATAAATACCAAAACATATTCATAATAGTTGTGTTGCATTTGCATCAGTAATATAGCATTATATCCAGAGTTTTATAAAAAGAACACCTTACACTCCATTCTAGTGCCATTCTCGGCTCCTTCACAGGTCCATTACTGATGGCCAAGTTGAGGTTTTGAACAGGAGTCAAATGTTGAAGGCCAGACCTGGAGATTGCTTTCCTGTAAGAGAGGGATAACAAATAGAAATTTAAAATGATTGAATTTGCCATCCTCTTTCATCCTCCTCTTAATCTGCATGTAAAAAACATTTTTAAAAAAGAACTATTTATTAATCATGTATCACTTCATTAGCAACAGGGACTAAGCTCCTTTTATGAAATTGCTTGAATGTACAATGTTCTTAATTAAAGTTGCTATTTATATAAGTTCAGTTGGAAGAAATATCTACTGGATTGATCAGAAATTTGCTCTGAGATAGCAATAATATAATATCCTCTTTTAGCCTGGAATTGAAGGTAATTGTGGGTACAATAAAGCATTAGTTTCATTCCGTTTCAATTTAAACTAAATTCAATAGATTTCATTAGGTTTTTTTAGATCTTTCTGCTGTATTAGTCTCAGTTGGTTTTCATTATCAGCTGGTTTGTTTAACTGTTCAACGTTGCTGTTAAATTTGATTTATGAGGATTTCATATTTTGTGTTTTTATTGAACTTTCTCTAAGCGGTATTAACTGGGATCTCAGCAATCTAAAATTCCCACAGAAACAGCATTATTTTGTATAACCGGTAGGGGTCCAGTGCAATCCATAATGTCATCATATGCATCATGACATCATTGCACAAATAATATGAATTTTGTAATTTGTGTTGCTCACATCACTATATTTTAAATCACCATGGCAGTAATTACATTTCTGCATCAATAAAACTGTTTAAAGGGAAGATCCTGGGCTTGTTGTTGTTCTCCTTCTTCAGAAGCTATTCAATCTGAGTTTCTGAAAGCCCTGTTCCATGTCCTTTATTCAACTTCAAATGTCCTTGGCTGCATTTCTCTTGGTGTTTACTTGAGAATTTACCACCTCGGATTTTGGCTGAAGCAAATCCTTTAGGGCAGCGGTTCTCAACCTATGGGTCACGACCCCATTTGGGGTCGATCGACCATTTCACGGGGGTCGCCAAGCAAGACTATCCGCCATTTTTTTCCCCTTTTCCGGCGGGTGCCTTACCTCCCTTGGGCTGGGCCAGCTGGTGGTCGGCCTGCTCCGTCTCTGCCGCTTGCCAGCTATGCCTCGGCCAGCACAGGGGGCAGAACCACGCATGCGCGGCGCTCCCGGGCAGGGAAAGTCCTCGACTTACGACCGGTTGGGTAGTCCTTGACTTACAACTGGTTTAGTCCTCGACTTACGACCGGTTTAGTCCTCAACTTATGACCAGTTTAGTCCTCGACTTACGACCGGTTGGGAGTCGCGGCATTAAAAAGGTTGAGAACCACTGCTTTAGGGTGTGTTTCTGGTTTACCTCACACTACTGTATAGGTTCTCCTCACCACTGAGGAGGCAAATTGATTCTGATCTAGAATATTATGGTGTCTCTCACTCCAGGCAATATTGTCTCCTAGCCCAGATAAAATCTTAGTCAAACTCAAACAGAGGTTTTAGATTTATAAAATGACAGGGCCAAAAATCATCAGTTTCTATTATGCTGCAATTGCAAGTTCTCCATGGACAATTTCTAGCTACTCCTAGAATAAAATAGAATAGAATAGAATAGAATAGAATAGAATAGAATAGAATAGAATAGAATAGAATAGAATAGAATAGAATGGAATGGAATGGAATGGAATTTGAGGGCTTCTAGTCCAGCCCCCTGCTCAAGCAGGAGAACCTATACCATCTCAGACAAGTGACTGTCTAGCCTCTTTTTTAAAATCTCTAGTGATGAAGCACCCACGATTTTTGGGGGCAAGCTATTCCACTGGTTAATTGTCCTCACTCTCAGGAAGTTTCTCCTTAATTCTAGGTTGCTTCTCTCTTTGATCAGTTTTCAACCCTTGTTTCTTGTCCCACCCTCAGGCGCTTTGGTGAATAATGTGACCCTCTCTTCTTTGCGGCAGCCCCTCAAATACTGGAATATTGCTATCATGTCTCCCCTATTTCTTCTTTTCTTTAGACCAGTGATGGTGAACCTTTTAGAGACCGAGTGCCCAAAACTCACCCCACCCACCCCCACTCCCACCCCCACCCCGCCCGCAGGGCCACCCACCACCTCCACGTCCTGCCATAGCAGATCACCAAGGTGGCCCTGCAGCGCTGCCATGGCGGCCCTGCCCTCCACCCACGCCCCATAACATCATCTGTGTGCAACAGGGTGCAAGGGCAGAGACTTGTCCCTGCTGCCCAGCTGCCATGTGCTTGGCTGCGCTGCTCCGTGCAGCCGTACCCAGGGGCGACTCTCCTCCAGGGGAGCTGCTGGTGAGGAGGGGGCTGGGGGGGAGGTGGGGCTGGGACAATAGTGCGCGTGCCCACAGAGAGGGCTCCGAGTGCCACCTCTGGCACACGTGCCATAGATTCGCCACCACTGCAGCCGTTCTTCGTATGTTTTAGTCTCCAAGCCTTTGATCATCTTAGTTGCTCTTCTCTGAATTTTTTTCCAAATTCTCAACATCTTTTTTGTGATATGGTGACCAAAATTGGCTGCAGTATTCCAGGTGTGGTCTTACTAGGGTTTTATAAAGCGGTACTAATAGCTCGTGTGATCTTGATTCTATGCCTCTGTTTATACAACCCAGGAGCTTTTTACTTTGGCTTATACTGGTATATTATATAGACCAGTGGTTCTCAACCTGTGGGTCGGGACCCCATTTGGGGTCGATCGACCATTTCATGGGGGTCGCCAAGCAAGGCTGTCCGCCATTTTTTTTTGTCCGCCATTTATTTTGTCCACCATTTTTTTTCCCTTTTCCGGCGGGTGCCTTACCTCCCTTGGGCTCGACCAGCTGGTGGTCGGCCTGCTCCGTCTCTGCCACTTGCCAGCTACGCCTCAGCCGGCGCAGGGGGCAGAACCATGCATGTGCGGTGCTCCCGGGCAGGGAAAGTCTTCGACTTACGACCGGTTGGGTAGTCCTCAACTTACGACCAGTTTAGTCCTTGACTTATGACCAGTTTAGTCCTCGACTTACGACCGGTTTAGTCCTCGACTTACGACCGGTTTAGTCCTCGACTTACGACCGGTTGGGGTCGCGGCATTAAAAAGGTTGAGAACCACTGATATAGACAAATATACTAGTCTTCCAAACAACGGCCATACATGTTTCTATTCAGGTACAGAGCTAAAGTCAATAATCTAGTATTGTTATATTGTTCATTGTCCCACTGATGGCATCTGACACTCATAAAATTGATTATCAGAATGTTTAGTTGTCTAACTTTCTGATCAAGAAACTACAATTATCCTTTCATAAAACTTAACTTGGACAACCCCTACAAAGATTGCCAAATTTCTTGAGATAGCTCTGGCTTGCAGCAACTGACTGATATTCTCTTTTCACTATTGCTTCATGGGGGGGAGTTGTCCTGTATTTTAAATTTTATATATTTGTGCTTTATTGGTGTTTCTGTATTTTAAATTCTGCATTTGTGTTGTATTGGTCTCTGGGACAAAATATAAAATAAAATCAACAAATATACATCTCATTCATATCTATTTCTGCATACACATATCCTTCTTATTTTTGTCTTGTTGTTCTAGTAGTTCACTTCGAATAGACATAAGCTTGCAAAATACATCATTTTTGTGATTCAAAGGAGATAAATGTAGTTTCTTGCCAAGGCTTCACATATTATTAGAAAAAACATCATGTAAAGCCCCTTCCAACCTAGCTAGAAATGACTGTTAAACAATCCTTTCAGCAGTTATTTTAGTCTCTCACTCTCTAAATCTCCTTTGTAGAAACTCCACGTATGCTTTTTATAGTGCCAAGGCTGTACCTATTCCTGTACTCTTCCTGTTCTATTTATATATTACATGGATATATAAGCTCTTCCACCTTTCTTCCCTTTTTTCCAGATCTGCCAGTTTATGTAGTTATGAGACTTGTAATCAGCTTCCCCAGTCTAATTATCAAGAACTAAAAACATGACATAAATACCCATTACTGAAATGAGTCTAACTCTGCTTGGCAGATATTTTGCTGCATAATAGCAATGTGCTTTTCTTGCTGTAACATATTGTTGAGAAATCATTTTGACTGAACACTACTAAACAAATAGCTTAAAATGATCTATTTCAAAATGCCTCTGAGATTGCGTTCATGCCAATACATGGCTGTCATCACAAGAGAGAAAAGCAAAAGCGTTCCTGGAGCTCACATGCTGTCAAGCCCAAAGCCAAAGATGACGCAGTGAATTCCAATTCTTAATTTGCTTACACCTAATAGACAGAATCTTGCCAGATCAAAGCTATAACCTTCTAACCTAATAGAGATTACCTGGGAGATTCTAGGGTGTGAACTACCCTCAATCTTTTCCTCCTTTTGCTATCCGGTTCAGGACTACACAGTCTCTTATTTTGGACTTTTGGAATATGCAGCCTCCACCTTTGGAAACCGTGGAGTTCCTGCCAGGATTGACCCCCACTCTTTCTCCAGGTGCACACTCCATCACATATACATTCTTCATATGGCAACATTTGCAAAGATAGCAAACATGAACAAGCATTCCTTCATTAGAACTGCTTTGTACTATGTTCAAACATAATTTTTGCTGACCAAAAATTATTTGCCACCAGGAGTACAGCCCCAGGAGCGCACACTCAGGAGTGCTCTCCCACTTACCTTTATTTTCAGAATCCCTGCTTCCCTATTTATATCCATTAGAATTTATATCCATGTTTATTACAGCTTTCCTGTAATTCAAGTGCCCCCAATATGGCATCCTCTAGCTATGAGGCTATATTGTTTGGAATTATATTCAACTGAAGAATAGCAATTTGGGGAAAGCTGATATGACATACATCTCAGCAAATTGCACCCTGGGATGACATGTCTAGGCACCAAAACAAAGCATAGTCAGGTCTTGGTTAGTTATCGAATGAGAGACTGGGAGAGTATACCATGGCTGTAGGTTACCTTGAGAAGTTGAAATAATATCCTAGAAGAAAGAGATGGAGAACCACTTCTGTGTCGTTGTCCGAAAAATAGCATGAAACATCCATGAAGCCA